TGAGAAAAACTGATAAGGTTTACTATTCAAGGTGACTGGCATGGATGTCAGCTACAGTGGACTCCCGGGAAGGATTGAGGACTTATTCTACCATCTTCTTTTCTGTACATTATTTGTTTCCCCAAAGTTCAGAACTTTATTTTGCTTATTATTTTAAATATTTCTTATTAATTCAACTCAGCCATTCATTAGCTGCATAAAATTTTCAAAACTGTGTCAGATTTCTACCAATCTGAAGAAAAATTTTCTGGAGTCTTCTAATATCTTCTAAACTGGACTGGTAGCTCTCTATCCTGATCTTTCCATTGTCATCCTGAAAAACTTTTCTCCTTTACTGACTTTCCTATATTCTATAACCCATTTTTCTCATTAAATGCAGTGTGAGGTTTCCTAAAGAGGAGATGGGGACCCAAACTCACCCCACCCATGGAGTAGGTTGCAGGTTCCCCAACTTATATTACAGAAAAGAATTTCAGGATGTGTCAGTGAAAACCACAGACAGATTTATTAAAGTTTAAAAAGTACATACTCAGAGAAAATAGAGTGCAGACTTAAAGAGCAGCACACTGTCGTCTTTGGGAGGGAGTATTTACGTAGTTTTTGGGGGTGTCCTCAAGGTGGGTGATCTGGAATGAATGTTGCTAATATCAGGTTATCTGTTACAGATACCAAATGTAAGCCATTTACATATATTTGAAGTTTGGAGATGTGGTACCCAATCAATAGTACTCTTTCCTTTGGGTGGAAGTCTGGAATTTATTAATCTACACTATCATAGGAAGAGCACAGGCTCTATTTATAGGTGAAAAACACAGGCCCAATCTACACAAGAAATACATCAGAGCCCAAATTACAGAAGTATTATATTTTTAATACTCAGGATTTTTTTTTTTTTAAGTGAGTTTCCTGGAAGAAAATAAAGGTATTCTGACTTTGGATCAAATCAAATCAAATCAAATCAAATAAAGGCATCCTGACTTTGTGTCCTGAAGCTGCAGTTTTCTTAAAAGTACAATTTTTTTTGGGGGGGGGTACCGGGGATCGAACTCAGGCCCTTGTGCTTGCAAGGCAGGCGCCAGAACCACTGAGCTAAATCCCTGGCAAAAGTACAATTTTTAAATTACAATTTTTCTTGTCTCTTTCCTGCCAATTGTTTTTTGGGTTTTTTTTTTCTATCCTAGATTATTTCTTTCTTCTATTTGGCTGATTTTCTCATTTTGATAGATCATAGCCTCCAAAAAATTAATAAGAAAGGGTATGAGGCAGGCAGATTGTTTTTGACAACTTGTATGCATTAAAATATTTTAATTTTACTTTTTTGGGGGGTCACTGTAGCAATTGAACCTGGGGGCTCACCCATACTAGGCAAATACACTATTACTGAGCAACATACCCAGTCATTTTTATTTATTTTGAGATAGGGACTCCCAAAGTTGCCTAAATTTGCCTTAAGCTTGTGATTCTATCTCAGTCTCTTGAGAAGAAGGGACTACAGGAGTACATGTCACCATGTCAGGCTTGAATTTAAACACATTTAATTAATAAACAGTTTCAATGCAGTTGAAACTCTAAGATTAAAATTATTTTCTTTCAAAAGTTTGAAGATGCTTCCTTCAGTTTCCAATGCTACTTACTATTAAGAAATCCAAATCTAAGTGATTTATGCTATTTTGTACAAGACAAGGGTTTTTTCCCCTCTGTGGAACCATGAAAGATCTCTTGGGCTTCAGTGACTGAAAAATTTACCACAATGTGCCTTACTTTGTGTCTCTTTTCATCTCCATTGTCCATGTGAACCATTTTCATTAGGAAACTTAAATTCTTTATATAAGAAAATTCTCTTGAATCATTTTGTTGATGACCATTTCCCCATTTTCTAGGCTCTTTTGAGAATAACTGTTATTGAATATTAAAATTCCTAGATAGTTCCTATATGTTTCTTAACATATTGCTTCTTTTCTCTATCACTTCGGTCCTTTTGCTGTACTTTTTCAGATTCCTTCAATATTAATTTCTAATACTTCTATGGAGCTTTGATTTCTGCTGTGGGAATTTCAATACTTAGGAGCCATTTTAAAAAGTCATCACATTGGGCCAGGGATTTAGCTCAGTGGCACTACACCTGACTCACAAGCGCAAGGTCCTGACTTCAATCCCTGATAGCGCGCACACACACACACAAAGTCATCACATCACCCTTTTACAGTATCTCCTTGTTTCGTGGCTGTATTATTTTCTTATTTCTGTGAGGATAATAGTAGTTCTGTTATTTTCTCTGCAAAACTTACAAGTTGCTTTGTTTAATTTCTGTATTTCACACATTAGAGGGTTTCTTCAAATATCTAACAATCCTTACTTAGCTGTTCATATTTAAGAGGATAGGACTAAAAAGTTGAATGGGAGTTTTGATACCTGAAGCAATCAATCTCAGCTAGGCTGTTTAAGGAATCTGGTAAGTACATTTGTTTGTCTCTTTTCAGTCAGACATTCTAGAAAAAATTTTTCCAACCTCTTTCCTGGAATTTGAAGACCTAGCTGGCATTAACATGAGTCCACAGAATAAAGATAGGATAAAAAAAGCCAAAGTCAAATTTTCCTGTTTCCCTCAACTGTGCTTGGTGTCTCCCAATCTATAGAGTCTGTTTCCTCCGCTCTCCAAAGTATTAATTTGAGGTCTTGCCAAAGCTAGAGGTGAGAAATTGAGCATTTGCTCAGATGCCTGGTTACCCAGGTTTTAGGAGTTCCCTGGAACCAAAACTTCTTCAAAAGACTTTTAATCAAGTCTTCTTTCACCTTTATTTCCATATGCTGTCATTCTTCAGCTTTTTGAGACCTCTACAGAGTAAGTGAGATGGTTTTGTAGATTTCCATGCTATTGAATTTAAATTTTCAGTTATTCATACACTCTAGTTTCTAAAATTAGGTAGATTGTTGTCTCCTCTCCAGGCCTTCTTTACTGAGCTTTCAATGAGTTTATAAAATTGGCAAGTAAAACTAGTAGCTCACCCATATTTTACTACTAACATCACTTGTTTCTGATTCATTTCATTATGTTTTTTTGTTTTATTTTCGGTACCAGGGATCGAACTTGGGCCCTTCAGCTTGAAAGGCAGGCCGTGGAACTACTGAGCTAAATCCCTGGCCCTCATTATATTTTTTTAAATTCTTTTATTTGAATAAAGACATATTATGAAAAAAATCTCTTAAGAAGGTAAGAAACATTCTTTTATTATTAATTAACTAACTCAAAAAATGATTTCATTCCTGATTACATGAAATTGAGTTCAGGGAGTTGTATTTGGACCATGGAAATCAGCTTTTATTTTTGAAGTTCATCATTTGTTCTAAAATTCAATTATATTTACTAACCTGAAAACTATTTTAACTCTTTATGACAAACTAAGGGAATAAGATCAATTAATAATTTCACATATCCATCATGTACAGGTACAAACTTCCTATGATGACTTATCATTATGTATGCCTGAAATGTACCAATAAGTGTTTTGCTATAAAAAAATAACTTCACATACCTATATTTGTAACATTTAATGAAAATTAGCATTTAATAATAATAACTATGATTTTTGTATTAATTTTATTTTTAGGGTTTTACATACATGGTCATTTTCTTTATTTCATTTTTATATTAAAATGTTTATAGGGAAGAGTGAGAAAGTAAATTCCTAACATTTATAATACATGCATAATAATATTTAAGAATGAAAGTGTTGGTAAAAGTTAAAATTTCCAAAGTAACTCAAGTATATTATTTCTTTTTACTCTGTAACAAAAAATTTTTTGGTTTTGTTTTTTTGTTTTTGGTACCAGGGATCGAACTCAGGTCCTTCTGCTTGCAAGGCAGGCGCCGGAACCACTGAGCTAAATCCCCGGCCCAAAAACTTTTTGTAAGAACAGTATAGTTCCAAAGCTTGGAAAAAGAAAAGTTGGAGAAAACAGGTAACAAAATTATGAAGACATCAAACATAGAACTTTTACAGGACAAAAGCACTGCACATTTATCAATGAAACTTTATTTTATTTTAATTGTTATTAAAGATTCTCTGAAAGCCAAACTCAATAAATAAATGGTCTGAAAGTATTTTCACCAGTTATGTCCTCAAGTCTCATTCTTTTAGGGATCAATTTACTGATTTTATTCTTGGCACTGAGGACACAACAGTAAACAAAACAAGTTGTGCTATCTTAGAATATTCATTCTATTTTGAACAGAGAATATAAACAGAGTAAATACAAAGGTGATAATTACTATGAAGAAAAGAAATATGGAGATGGAGAATGGTCACGCAATTTGAAATAGGTTGCTTAGGAAAGATCTATCAGAAGATTTCACTGACATGAAATGTGTCTACATTGTTACTTCAAAAAATTAAATCAAAAGCCGAAATATTAAGTAGAAAAGAAAAATTAGTAGAAAGATCGTAAAATAATACAACATTTTTACCATTTTTTTCTGAGGTAGCTAAGACAATATATGCTACACTGATGAAATAAATTCAACAAATGATATTGCTGAAAATTTACTTTTGGTTACATTCCCAAACTGCTCTCTAGACATATACCACTGCTTCAAAATATCTTAACCCCCCCCCAGTATCAGAAATCGAACTCAGGACCTTGTGCTTGCAAGGTAGGCACGGCAACACTGAGCTAAATCCCTGGCTCTTAAACTTTAATATCATCTTTAAAATGACATGAAACCATTTTTTAATTTTTTATATCTTGAATAAATATTATATAGAAATTTTAATTACATCATTTATACCCTACATGAGAAACTAGAATATTTAAAGTAGATCCAACACAAATATCAGTCTTCAAATTAAGGACTAGAAGGCCAGGAATTTAGCTCAGTGGTTCCAGTGCCTGTTTCACAAGCACAAAGACCCAAGTTCAACCCCAGGTACAAAATAATAATAATAATAATAATTTAAAAATTAAGGACTAGAAAGGAATAGATGACATTTTAAAATTTATACCTTGCCCAGAGCGGCCTTGGCGAGAATCTACACTTGACTGTCTTCGATCGGTTGGTTCCTCGTTCCCTCCATCTGTATAAGATTAAAAAGAGCATAAGCAAATAGTTCATGAGATTGACATTCCCTGTCTGGTGCCATCTATATCTTAAAACTAGTGTATCAATCATCTGCTTTCATTTCTTACGATCTGAGTCATTAAAATATTTGAGAATTTTCTCTACAAACTCATTGGTTCTGGGCTGGGGATTTAGTTCAGGGGTGCTGCTGCCTGCCTCCCAAGCACTAGGTCCCAAGTTCCATCCCCAATACCGAAAAAACACACACACACACACACACAAAAAAAAAAACAAAAGAAAAACGGTGCTTATCTTGTAGGGATAGTATACATTCTAGCCTAAAAATCTAATGCAAGTACAAGTGTTTTTCCCCTCCACCACACATATTATATTCTACTTAACATACAATGAAGTAATTTTATCAACTCTGAAGTTTATTCACTGAATTCCAGTTTGTAAGCTCTAATTTAAAGCAATATCTAAACAAATGTAAAATACATCAAATAATCCAATCCTTAGAACTGCACATCTTATTATCATAAATATTAAATGTTTTATAAAATATTATTCACTGCAAATAAAGTTGGGACAGTAAAACAAAAAGCAGTACTTAGAAAATGTCTAACGTCGTATCTAAGATTATTTATTTATTTATTTTTGGTACTGGGGATCGGACTCAGGCCCTTGCGCTTGTGAGGCAGGCGGCAGAACCATTGAGCCAAATCCCTGGCCCTCTAAGATTTTTTAAAATGAGACCAAACAAAGGCAAAACTTTAACACAGTGATCTAAATGCTTATACATTTATTTTAACTATTAGCCAATTTTTTTTTTTCTTTCTTTTTTTTTTTTGGTTTTTTGAGACAGGGTCTCACTATGTAGTGAGACTGACCAGGCACTCACTATGTAGCCCAGGCTGGTCTCAAACTCACAGCAATCCTCCTGCCTCAGCCTCCCGAGTGCGGGGATTACAGGTGTGTGCCACCATGCCCGGCTGCAACATTAGCCAATTTAAAGTGTATTAAAAACTTAACAATTTCCTTTATGCTTTCTTTTATACAACCACTTAGCTTATTATTATAAGAGTAAGAAGTAATAGCTACAAGCAAGTTCAACAAGGTCTACTCTTTTTTTAAAAACAAAAAACAAAAAAACAAGGTCTACTTTTACGCTGCCATCTTACTTCTGTTGTTTGTCTTTTGTCTCTTTTTAAATATATAACTCCCGAGGGGGTGAAGGGAGGGCAGAGGTAAGGGGAAAAAAATGAGAATCAAGACTTGCCATGTAAAGGTACATGATCCCAACAATGAATGTAACTGTACTGTATCCCTAAATGTACCAATAAACTCAATAAAAAAAAAAAATAAATAAATATATAACTCCCTTAATTCATCATTGATATAAAATTTCCTTTTCAAGATAGTACATGAAGCTTAGTAAAAATGGATTCCACTTATCAAGTATACTTTTCAAGTATTCGATATGTTACAGAGGCCTTTGCTAGCAAATATAGGGTTATTCACTTAGTTGATTCCAAAAATACAGTGACAGTCTACAATAGCACAAAAATTCACAGGAAATGTTCATATCTGAGTCCAGTATGACCCTGGCAACTTCATAAAACATTCCATTAATTTACTCACATTTGCAAAATAATGCAGCAAAAAGAAAATACTCAGTGAGAGCCAGCTATATGTTTCATCGCAGTGTGCAAATACTCTAAAAATACAAATTAGTTTAAATATTATTTTGATTCTGCTGTTGCTAAATTACTGGATTTGAATAAAATATAATTAGATATGTGAACAAAACATACTATATGAAATGTAAAGACAAGAATCTTTCCTTTGACATGTGAGACAAAGAAAAAAACTCTACCTATGAATTATCATACCAGAATGAGAGAGCTCTGTCTGTTTAAATTAAAAATTTTAACTTTTCAATTTCATATTCCAAGAAAATAATTCTGTAACTTATATAATAAATAAATTCTTTTTCTAAGGCTCAGTATTTTAACTGGACCAAGTCAAATTTAATTTTTAGGTTTTTAAACCCTCTAGGATTTTTTACCTTGTACTTTATAAATTAATATCCAAAATATAAAAAAACCCTTAAAGCAAGCCCTTCTTTATAATATTTAAGAACAGAGAGACAGGCAGCCAACAGGCACTAACTACTATCTACCAAGTATTTTATATACTATATAGCACTTTGAAGTAAAAATCTATTTCACAGATGAAGACACTGAAACTCGGGGTGCCTAATTGGAATCAAGTGACAAAACCAGTAAGATGAAACTAGATTTTAATCCAAGGCAGTATGCCTCACTATATCTAATAGTAATTTGCATTCAGATTTATTAAATTGTTGAATTTGTTAATATGTTTTAATTTCATTTTATTCACATAAAAAGAAGATTCAAAGAGTATAATTCAGTAACTACAACAGTTCTTCCTTTACAGAATACCGGCTTTCTAAAATAAGTTATGAAGATTTAGTCTTACCATTTAAATTTGATTTTCTTATTTGTTTCCAATATAAAATTTAAAAACCTATTCTCTTAAAGAAAAATACTTTCCCCACAGTCCATGAGTGCTTTCTCTCTCTCTCCTCACCTCTTGATTCTATTAAAAAAGATACTGAGTGCTTCTTTTGTTAATGAATTGCCAACAGCCAAAATATACTGAAGCATCTCATTATGAGTTCTAGAACACTTTGCCAATAATATAAACTTACCTTCTCAGGTCTATATTACCATTTCTTACAATGGATACCATTAGTTAAGAAATTCTATTTATAAGAAATTTTAAGATTTGTCATTGTGTTATCAGTACTTAAGTAACTAAAGCTCCTGTCATGCATCTATCCTCCGTTTTTCTATGAAATGTGACACTACAAACTTAGGCATATATGATTTATAAAGAATTCAAGAAAAATGCTGCCTTAACAAAGTATATTTAAAAAGAGAGACAGACAGATAGTTAGCTCTCTTTCATGTTTACAGTGTGAAAGAAATGTTAGAAGTAAATTATGCTGACATATGTATGAGTAACTCTTGCCAAATCAACTGCATAAAATGGACCTTTTCTTTTCTTTTCTTTTTTTGAGTCAGGGTCTCATTATACAGTTCAGGCTGGCCTTGAACTCACTAAGTAGCTCAGGCAGGCCTCAAACTCTCAGTGGTCCTCCTGCCTCAACCTCCCAAATGCTGAGATTATCGTCATGCACCATCATACGTGGCTGAGATGGCAATTTTTAATTCACTTATGTCATGGTAAAAGGTTAATCATCATATGCTAAAAATTATACTGGGAAAAATACAAATTAAAAACTCTGATCTACCCATTAAAATTAAAAATAAAACTCTTTAAACACAATTAGAGTAATCTGCATTTTAAAAAGATAGCCTTTGAGATAACTGTAGTAGTATAATTGGATAGAATTTACAGGAGTGATTTTCAACCCCAGCTAAACAAATACATATGACTTTGTTCTAATAAAACATAAGTTATGGACACTAAAATTTTAATGTCATGAAATTTATATATGTTAAAAATGTTATTCTTTTAATTTTTTTTCAACCATTTAGAAGTGTAAAAATGATTCTTAGAGATTATGGGCCATATAAAAACAAGCAGTAGTCTAGACCCCTGCTCTAAAAGCAGGGAGATTATTTAATAAGCTAATCAAAACAATGTGAAAAGTAATGACTTGAAAGTAAGAGCAGTGAGAAAGGAATTTTCTGTAAATGACACCTATTCTACTCTGCCTTCAAAAATTTAATGATAGCATTGATTCAAGGATCCTTTAATTATTATTCATTAAATTTATTGGTACATTTTAGGTATACACTATGATCACATTCATCATTGGGAATTCATACCCGTACATGGTATATCTTTTTTTTCCCTTTTCCCCTCACCTCCCTTCTACTCCTCCACTTTGTTTCCATTTTTTTCTTTTCTCATATTTTTTTCCTTCCCTTATTTCCCTTCCCCTACTCCCCCCCTACTTCCCTTTCCCTTTTGGATCTTTTCTTCCTATTTCACATCCTCTATTATATATTTTGATCCTTATTTACACTTTCAGTTTCTCACACCACAGAAAACTATTCAGTATTTACATATGTGTGTCCTGTTTATTTCACTTAAGAGTATCACCTCAACATATATCCATTAGCTATAAATGTCTCTAGTTTATCATTCTTCATGACTGAGTAGTACTCCATTTTATTTTATTTTTAAATACAGCTGGGGATTTAGCTCAGTGGTTCCATTGCCTGCCTTGCAAGTTTAAGTCCCAAGCTTGATTCCCAGTACCAAACACACAAACACACACGCGCGCATCTTTATCTAGTCACCAGATGATGGACATTTGGTCTGTTTCCAATATTTAGCTATTACGAACTATGCCACTATAAACCCAGCTGCACATATATCACTGCGGTGTGATGCTTTTAACTCTTTTGGGAAGATATCCAGCGAGGGAATAGCTGGGTCAAATGGGACTTCTAATCCTAGTTTTTTGAGGAATCTTCATACTGATTTCCACCACAGTGGCTGCACCAGTCTACACTCCCACCAACAGTGGGAGCTCCACAACCCAGCCAGCATTTGTTACTGGTTGATTTCTTGATAATAGCCATTCTTCTGGAGTGAGGTAGAATCTCAGTGTTGTTTTCATTTGCATCTCTTGAATGACTAATGATGTTGAACGTTTTTTCATGTTTATTTAAAGTTTTTACTTCTTCATCTGAGAAATGTCTGAATTCTACAAGACATTTAGAGAAGAGCTATTACCTCTACTGTTTAAATTCTTCAATGAAATTGAAAGGGAAGCAATACTCCTGAATTAATTCCTGGAAGCAAGCATCACCTTGAACCCAAAAGCAGAGAAAGACTCAACCAAAAAGAACTATAGGCCAACCTCCCTAATAAACACAGAAACAAAAATCCTCAATAAAACACTGGCAAACAGAATGCAGAAGTTCATGAAAAGATCATATGCCCTGACCAAGT